TGAACTTTGACTGAGACGTTCAAAGCCAAACTTGTACGGAACTAGTCGCTTGCCGGAAAAACAATTATCATTGTTCATCTCTGACAAACTTTTCTGCTGATTCGCTACTCGCGTTGTCTGTTGCAGTTCTCAATTCAGGACAACGGCTCAGCGAAGTTCTTCCAAGGGGCGCTGCACACACCCAACATGGGCGAGAAGGTAGCTCAGGTGAGTGAGGAAAGAAATGTCCACAAACAGAGCTTCTGTAGTTAGCAAGACATTTTACCTGTTGTGGTAGAAGCGAGCTCATACGTCTTATTTGCACGCCATGTTTGTACCCAGTTTGATTCTGCGTGCAAGTCACATTGGCATATGTCACCTGCGCAGAAGTCACGGAACATTGTCACCAGGAATTTTTAGCCGGGAACGTTGTTGAAGCCGAAGTCCCTTCTAGCGGTCCCTTTTCCCCATTCCAAAGACTCGAAGCCCCTCCTGAAGTGGTGAGAGGGGCGAAGCTAATCGGCTTATTAATTATTCAATTATCTAGGCACTCAGGTAACTAACTTAATAGGGTGGATTCCGAGAAGCTGATAATCGCTCGGCTTATCCATAAATCCCACCTGTTATAGAACCAGCAGTTTCGTTAACGTGTTAAAGAGCTTGTTCCAAACAGGATATAGCCTGCAGTTTTTCCGACTAAAATTCTGTATCGCTGTCTTATATCTACATTCATGCTTCGTGTTTTACACAGGTAATGGAATAATCGGAATCTTTCAGAAGTTATTTTTAACTTACATTGAGTGTTAGGAACACGCACGATGTCCGAAAATTGCTTTTTGTGTAGGATAAATGTTTTTGGAACGTCACGTACGCGAGTATTGAGTCACCGCGCGCAACTGTTTCGCGTAGGGTAGTAGTTGGTGGGGTAGAGTTGCAGGTTGCCCCGCTTGTGGCAGCACTGTGCTCGCGACCAGTTTGCCGCAGTCCCTCACGCAGACCTGCAGTGTCCTGTGTTGTGCTGTGTATCACGTGACTAGTGTTTGTGTTTGTCACAGCGTTGCCGAGTAAAACCCCGACGAACCCCCGCATTCCCGGTTTCTCCGTCGATGGCTTTGTCGAACAATTGCAGCAGACGCGTTGCTATGGAAACGACTTTGGTCACGGGAAGCGCCGTGCGTCATGGACCACTCTTGCTGCTATGTCGGCGTGTTTGTTGGTCGGCGTGTGACGTAGTTTTTACAAAACTTGGCTGAAAAGTTCTGGCACATTTATATCGTACTTGTCTCCTTCCTCGCAGCGAAGTTCAAGTGTGGCCAAGGAAAGCAATCCGGGACTCGTTTCGTGGTTTGTGCTAGTTTAAAACTCTGTTCAGGTGTTCAACTGGGAACGGAACTTTCAGGTTTGGAATGTATTTGTGTCGCGGCTTTATGTGTCATTATCGAAGCAGGAGCGTCTTAGACTCTTCTTGCTCGATGCTACTGGCCGCGCGCTGTGTTCTTAAGGAAACATCTCTTTAAGCCTTGTTTTCGTTTCTTCATTTCTGTATGTGGCCTCTTGAGATCCGGAATTTGATCTGAAACAATTATTTCTTTAAGACGGGACGGGGTTCTCATCTTGACGTGAAGGATCCGTGCATGGTTCGGTTCATTTCGTCGGAAGACGTACGCATAATCCATGGGCATGACAGTTGCCTGATGAATGGTGCATTCTCAACCATTTTCGTGTCGCCGACCGGAGAATTTGTCGCCAAGTAAATGTTTCAAACGGCGAGGTTCCACCCTTGGACTGCCTCGGTCTCAATCGTGTCGAGTTGCCGTCATTCGTGAGTCGTCGGACTTTCGTGCCCTGGAACGTGATAGTAAGTTCTCTCATCGCCCCGTGGGCACAGCAGTGTTGATCCGTCGCCTTGTGGTGCGGCAACTTCTCCGACGCCTGTGTGCTGCGTGTGTTCGAATCACAGCTCTGCAGGGGCAGTGTCACTTCTGGTTGAGACGCTGAGTATTTAACGTAGCGTTGCGTTGGAGGAGTGATCTGATTGGCAGAATTTCCATGAAGACTAGTCGCTTCCCAACTGTGGTTCATTATACTCGTTAACAGGGATTTGTTACTGAGAATTGTTAGTAGAATCAGGATGAACGGTAACGTTTTGGAGCGAATACTTTGCGGCGCGTGTCAAGGAGACTTAAATGCAGTGGCGCTGTCTTTTGCCAGCTGGCGCCGTGAGCACTGTCAGGGGGCGCAGGTGGGCTTGCTTGCTTGTTGAGGGGCCGAGGGGCCGGGGGCTACTTAACTTCGTATCAGAGAGGTCAGCAATTGCAAACTCGGACACCAGGTGGCTCCATTGGATTTAAAATTCGACAGTGATACATGCGAACAGAAAAAGAGATTATGACGTTAATAATAATGTATTCTTTCTCTGACCGTTTAATCCTTGGAGGCGTGAAAACATTACTAACTTTCTTATTTTTTTTGTCCGGGGGGTGTTTGCAACAACGGAAAAACTGTCGCTTTCAACGAAACCTTGGTTTTATGTCGGGCAAGACTGAAGTTGCTCACTTTTCATTTTACATGTTGGCACTTCTGAATTGCAAGAGACGGCTTGTCCGAAAGTTCTGACGGGTGTTTCAAAAATACGTGCGACGTGGCAGTCACGTCTCAGCGTCCAGAGGCGACTTACGATTTACTGCGTCGCGCGGGATTCGACCCGTTTCTGAAGCACCACGCAAGGACATGACCAGACAGACGTTTCATTAAACATTGACGTGATCGAAGCGACTAGTTTTAAGTTCGATTGTTTGTTTCCTAGATTATGATCGTCAGACCTCCGGAGGGGCCTTCATTTTGTAGACTGCACACAGCAACGACACGCGGAGGGATGCTATGGTAACAGTCGTGGTTTTATTGAACTGCGACCAAAATTGTGGCGTCATTCGGCAACGTTGCGGCTTCCTTTTGTGTGAATAAACTGGCATTGCCACTAACAGTTTCATGACCGGTCGGTGTGCTCAACTACGCTGCGGTTTGTCCGATGTGTTGATGAGCTGTGCGGGACGTGGAGTGTGCGATGTGCCGTGAAATGCTACGCGAGCCGCGATGTGGCCCGTCCTGGAGGTTTAATGCCATATAAGCATCACCGGGAGCCTGGTCCAGGAGAACGCCTCGCCGAAGTCGGTGCAGGCGCTGGCAAGCCCGCAACAACGGCCCCACACTCTCAGGTGACGGGGGCGGGCGAGTCTAACCCGCCCCCAGGCTCCGCCGCCCCGCCATACGTCGACGACAAGGACATTCGGGTACTGAACAACCTGCTGGACGACCTGAAGCGGCTGGACACGTG